TAAACCAATAGGGTTCTGTTACAAATGCTCTTCCTCCTCAATTTCCTTTTGTTGAAGCAGAGCCTCCTTAAGTATCTTCAAACTCATACCAGATGATATAAACTGCAAAACATATTGAAGTACATGAGAATATAGTTAGAAAAATATAGAAAATTCATACAAAAAGAAAGCAGAGAGATGAGTCTGGGATTCTTTGATTGAAGAAGCCATTGTATTTATAGGTAGAAAATACTAATTCAAAAGGAAAGTATATAATAATTTATTTAATTTAGGGAAAGTATAATAATTTATTTATTTAAGGTAATATTATTATTATTATTATTATTATTATTATTATTATTATTTATTTATTTATTTATTTATTTTGCATTTGACATTTACTTACCAAATAAGTTTTACAACAAAAGTTTTGGGGGGAAAATTTGTTAGGAGGATTTTACTTTTATATATATATAGAATATAGATATAGATATATGTAAGATTTTTACATTTGATAGCTGAACCAAATTTATAGTTGTGTATATAACATAACTAAAAATATATAAGAACCAATAACCTATATTTCTTTTATAAAGAAGGAAGGAAGAACATATTCAATTTACGCTTACACCGAGGCTCGAACCATAAATCTACCACATAAAAAAGCAACCAGATACCAGTGAACCAAATGTCACTTGGTAACTTATTAACCTATTAACCACAAGCCAATAGGTACCAATAACCTATTAAATTCACTCAAAACATAGTTTAGATAATTTTAATATTTTATTAACTAATATTTAAAATATTTTTGGATATATTCATTTGAGTGAAATGTATATATATAATTTTTACATTGAAATCTAATATATGTGAAATTTTAATATTTGACATCTGGACCAAATTTGTATTACAAACATAACTAAAAACAATTAATTTCACTTTTGGTCCCACGACTTTTGAGGTTCTATCACTTTTGGTGCACAACTTTAAAATTTTTCAATTTTGTTGTTTAACTTTGTTATTTTTATCAATTTTGGTCCTTTTGGCCAAATTGCCAGCAAAATGTTGCGATATTATAAATTTTTAGGGGTAAACTCGTTATTCCAAAGAAACATCTTCAATATCTAAACAAAATCAATGTAAAATCATATCTATAGGTGATTGATCGATTAGAATAATGGGAAGACAGACAGAAACTAGACACAGATATATGAAATTTATAGCGTCGACGATTGGCAAACTCTTCTTTTTTCACTTAGGGTCTGTTTGGAAAGCAGGAAAATGACTTCTGGAAAATATTTTTCAGAAAATGAGTCATTTTCAAGAAAACATTTTCCTTTCCAGTGTTTGGCTGCATTCTAGAAAACTGTCTTGATGTGTTTGTTTCATTTTCCGGAGAATGAGCTGGCTTATTTTTAATGATTTATCATCATCGTCGTCGTCGTCGTCGTCGTCGTCGTCGTCGTCGTCGTCGTCGTCGTCGTCGTCGTCGTCGTCGTCGTCGTCGTCGTCGTCGTCGTCGTCGTCGTTGTTGTTGTTGTTGTTGTTGTTGTTGTTGTTATTATTATTATTATTATTATTATTATTATTATTATTATACCCATCGTTTGTACCAACGGGAAAGGTCAACGGGTTCACCGTCCTGTCGATTTTCCCCGCATGAACATTTCCATGTTTTGGCTTCCAGTACTGTTTTATTGCCTCCAGTGTAATTTTGACTATCTGTTGATGCTATTCGAGTATAGAGTTATGTCTTATGGATCCTTTGCTTCGATTTTGAGCTATTGATCATCTATGAACCCTATCCTTGATATTGATTTGGCTTGTGTGATATATATATATATATATATATATATATATATATATATATATATATATATATATATATATATATATATATATATAATGGTCTAGATTAGTCCTCATGTCCTCACCTAATCCGGACTATATATATATATATATATATATATATATATATATATATATATATAGTCCGGATTAGGTGAGGACATGAGGACTAATCTAGACCATTAAATCAGAATGACGCACGACTCAGATTAAAAGAAATAAATCACATGAATTAGGGAAACAAATCTCTTAAAATATTAAAAAATATAAAGTTAGGGATAAATCAATCTTATTAGATGATGTGCATTACTATGCAAAATGTTGTGCATTCCTATACTGAGTATTGTGCATCGATAACTCTCTAGTTGTGCATTCAAACACCATCAAAAAAATCCTACAGTGGACATCCTAATGTCCTCCGATGCACCGAACTAAGTGTACTAATGCACATCTCACCAGCCTACAGTGCACAACTTACAACACTAGGTTGCACAACCAGCACACACGAATGCACAATTGTACTAATCAGGCATTTGTACATATACACCAACATCCAAACATAGCCAATATTATATTCACAAGAACGAGCAAAAAAAATAAAAAATATTGATCACTTTGCATGGGCGAACATTTGATCAACGATGAAGAAATCGCAGCTCCAAATCGCAACGGTGATGATCCAAGAAAATAAGAAACCAATTTAACCAAGGATTACCCATGCGTTCACAATTAAAAAAAATAAGAACTACACAACTTCCCCGACTTTAACAAGAAAGATCAATCTATGTCATCTTAGGAAATCAAATTTGGGTCATCCAAATAAAAAAAAATGAACGCACAAGATTAGTCTTCACGTCCTCACCTAAGGATGAGTCCTCACTTGATCCTTAATATATATATATATATATATATATATATATATATATATATATATATATATTGTATTATTGAGATTGACAGAATTGAGATTGGCGGAGTTGAGTTTCGGCTCCTTGAGATAGGTGGAATGAGCTTCGACTCTCTTTGGTGGATAAGGTTGGACTGGTGATTCAGATGGACTGGCGTTACGGTTGGATATTATATTATTATTATGAATTTGGCTATTGATATATATATTTCCTTTGGCTATGTATATATACCAGTATACCATGTTTGATGTGTGAACTCTTGGAAATCTATTGTTGGTCACCTTGTTTATATTTCTTTGAATTGGTCTTGAATCTATCTCCTTATTGAATATCTATCTCATGGAATCCTTCTGCTGAATTCGTTGGTATGATATATATATATATATATATATATATATATATATATATATATATATATATATATATATGTATGTATGTATGTATGTATGTATGTATGTATGTATGTATGTATGTATTCATACAGTCTCAAAACCTATGTTGAATATCAAAGTACATGTACATAGTTTTATGTGTTGGAGTGAGTTTACTCACTTAGCATTATTCGCTAATGTTTTTAAAGTATGTTTTCAGGATCAGGAGCTTGTGGCTAGTTGAGAGCGTGTCATAGAACTAGTATCCCGAGTTGTTCATGGTATAATGGTTTAGATTAGATTTTGAGTTGTTGTATAGATGCTTTGTAATTGGATTTGTAGATAGAACCTTTGTAGCCTGTGCGTTTGGGTTTAGATGATTGCCCAAGCGTGGTATAACACCCCTTTTGTTTTAAAGTTTTAAATTCGCTTCTGCATTTCAATTTCGTCTTTTAAACAAGAAAATGTTGTTTATTTTTTATATTCCAATTTTGAAAATTGAGGGTGTTACAAGGGTGTTGGACAAAACTGCCACCATGATGAATTCTTATACGTACAATGAAATGCATCCTAAAAAAAAAAAAAAAAAACATTTCAATTTATAACCAATAATCCTAAGTACATAAGAAATAAAAATTTATTCCAAATTTAAGTTATTGTGTGCTTCAGTATCAGTTAGCATACTTAAAACAAACAACATGTGTAGGGGGACCATAGTGTAAGAGAAAGCCTGTCAAAATGCTTCTATTGCAATCTACTATCGGTGATGGTATACATTTAAGTACTCTATATAGGTAACATATACTTAAAACAAACACCACGTATAGGGGGGATCACAACAAGTCAAAAAAATCCACTACTAAAAACTAAAGTAAAATGCAGGACTACAACCACTCAAATTTGTCTCAATTATTAACTACATTTTAGGAGACCCATATCACAAAGCAATCCAAATTAACACAAGTCAAAAAATCCACAGCCAAACTATTTAATATACAAATACCCATATCTATGCCTGCAAATATATAAAAAGCCTTTCAAATATACAAAATCCATATCTTTGCCTTCAAATATACAAAACCCATACCTCAACAAGTTTACCAATATCTCTGCCTTCAAATATACAAAACCGAGTATACTTACTTGCTTTGCTAATATGAAATCTTCAGTTGAACAAGGGATAAATTTATTACCTCTCTTCGAGTCTGTTATCGTTGTTATACCGTTCGCCGTCCGTGGAAGGAGTTCGTCCGACTGCTACAATCGTGTCTTCAAGCTCCGACTGTTACAACCTCGTCTGACTGTCCGTCTACTACCAATAACTTTGTCTTCAAGCTCCAATCAACAACAATAGCCTTAGTCAAATTTAACATTAAATTTAATTTTCCCCTTTACTATTTTCTTATACTATTTTATTTTTTTAATCCTTTGTTTCGTTGCTTATTTATTTTTTATTTTTCATTTTTTTTACTGAGTGACAATCCAAATGTGTAATGATGGTGCCTAGTCAGCGTCTACAGGGTATTTTACTGAGGGTTATCAGTGGCTATCCGGTTAGTGGGTCTCATTGCACTAGTATTAAGAATTCATATGTATAGTTGCAACTTTGAAAAGTTTGAGGGCTTAATTCACTCTATATGGAAAGTTTGAGGGTCTATTTGACCTTTTTTTCTAATAAAAATAACCATATATATTAATGGAGTTTGACAATTATATAAAACTAGGGAGTAAAAATACAACATTTTGAATATGGGCTAAATTTATTTAAATTAACTTTTAGAGACCAATTTTCTAAAAGTGAAACAATTTAGGGTCATAATGCTATTTCTCCTAAATAATTTGAGTACTTATTTCGCAATTTTCTTATATTTCTATTCGGGTTTCGATGTTGGACTCCATTAAGCATCCTGATGCTTGTACTTGGGTCGAAGACGATAAGCCCAAATCTGATACCGGATAAAAGCGATCTGCAAGGAGGGAGAGAGAGAGAGAGAAGAAGAAGAAGAAGAAGAAAAATGGCGTTGGTGTGGTTGGAAGCTGCACTGCCTTTGGGGATTATCGCCGGCATGCTCTGCGTCGCCGGAAATATTCAGTACTTCGTCCACAAGGCATATCATGGCCGGGTACTTCTCTCCCCCTCTATCTCAAACAGTCAAACATCTTTTCAGATTATTCTTCATTGTTACATCGAAGATTGCTTATTTTACTTTTGTAAATTGTTTGCTGATTGATTTGTTTATGATCGGGAAAATTGTTGTAGCCGAAGCATATCGGAAACGACGTTTGGGACGTAGCTATGGAAAGGCGGGACAAGAAGCTTGTTGAGATGCTTTCAGCTCCTCCTCCTTCTGATTAGATCCCTTCGCCTTTCTGGTAATTTTATTTTTCTGTGCTGATTGATCTCTTAGATGTAACTGATGCTGAAATTTTACCTCCTATTATACCGTCAAACTATGGGCTGTTCTTATTTGGAGTAAAAAAAACTGGTCTCTTTGGTATTGATTTTAAGAAATTTGAGCTTCACTGTTACTGGCTGCTTAAATGCGTCTGTCATAATTGGGGGTTAGAAGTTACTAACTGTAATAACTCCGGACTTTGTATTAGGGTTTTCTCTTGTAAGACAGATCTTGTCTTGTCTTTAATTATGGTCTTTGTATTAAAAGATGGAGATTGCTAGTAGATAGACTATATGTTGGGAAAATAGTGTGGCGCAGCTACTATAAATATTGGCTAGGTGTTTAGAAACATAACCTACGAAGGAGTAGGAAAAGATTTACTTTGCCGTGTTCAGGAACACTGCCTTAAGTTCAATTTCCCGGGGACGGTGCAGTAGTATAAACCGGTATTGCTCCCCAAGGTTAACACAGTGCTACGGTTACGTGCACTTGTATGTTGTAATCGTAGTTAGAACTTGACTTTTATCGTTTAGCTCAGACTAGCGAACACAGGGGTTGTGAACTCAAGCTATGAAAGGAAGATACGAAGAGATGATGCAAAGATGAAGATTGAGTGAGTGTTTATGAAATCAGATGACCTTTATATAGTGATTTTTCACACTCCTCCAGCCATACAAGTTCGCCACTTACGCTGCTTCACACGCCTTCAATGCATGTGAGCCATAATTTAGAAATGTAAGAAAAAGACAACCACAAATCTTTGAGAGAAAATAATATCATAATTAAATGTACGGACATTGGGAATTTGGATTAAATATGTAGTGTTTGGACCTCAGAATTTTCAGCACTATATGGTGCAGGTGTCGGGCATTGCATTAAAGGGCCTCTAACAGAGTGTACTTAAAGGCATTCCACTAAGTTTTGCATGAAAAGAAATGAAGTTTTAAAATGTTATTCTGGTTTAGTATTTTGACTCAAATAAGATGAACTTTCCTTCGTTGTCACTGTCTTGGTGTTTTGAATAAACTTGAAAAGAACTCTGATTGTGCAGATAAAGTGTATTTTTGTTGTTTTTAGAGCTCTATCAGGATATAATTGTAATTTTGTAGCCAGGAAATAAAACTCGCTCCATTTTGGAGTACACTGGGGTTGTATTGAACCATGTTTGTAAGGATGCCACATATTTAGGTTTTGATGGGTGAAAATGATTGACCAGTGGAATTTCATCTAGCAGCTTCCACTTATTTCCCTAAGAATAGAACTATAAGGTGCAAGTTACTCTAAACTCAGCAATTTTAACATTGGTGTGTTGGGTGTATTGTGTATACTTGAGGTGAATTTGGTCAGATGTGGTCATCTCTTGCCTAGTAGTTATTATGAACTTGACAATGTAGTTTGGACCAACTTAAAAGACATGCTTTCGAATCATATGAGTATGTATAACACAGGCCTTATCCATGAGCTTGGTTTATATTGTTGGAGCAGTGGATTTCTATTCCTGCTGAAACTCTGACAGTGAGAGTTGTATGCATATAATGGTCTCAGTTTCTTGATGCATCTATATGGATGAACGAAAGGTTTATTATAGTTAATACAGTAATATCAAATATAGCTTGTACCAAAAAAGTTTTGAGATGTAAAGAAATGACAATTCAAAGTTGTTTCTTTTTGAAATGTTGTCCTCTAATTTAAAGTTTATTTCATAGTGTTTACATGTAAGAAGGGGAGAATCTAACCTTGTTTCTTTTGAATTACTAAAGTAATATTTAGTATATATATTGAATGACCTGAAATGTGTTTACATGTAAAGCCTTCCATATATCTTTGGCTCTATTTGGTACACTTGAATCACAAGGGATGTGATTGGAATAAACTTTATTTCTAGAGTTTCAAAGAGAGAGAATGGAGGAGTGGTGGGGGGTGTTAAAAGATCGAAACCACAACTCACAAGTCCGTTTTACCCTAATCCTTGCAGAAGAAGCTAGGCTTTGGACCCTTAAGATAGATTTCAACATGAATATTTAAATCATTTCAACTTTATTTGTTCAACATGAAATTGAGTCTATGGGTAATGATATTATGCTTCAATTAAGGATTGTCTTGTGTAGTTGTGTGTGTAATTATACTCATTGTTTAACTATTATTGCAATCATTTCATCCAACTCTTGATGGACTTTTGTGTTCTTTACCCTGGTTGGCACACATGTTCTTGGTGATTGATTTATGAAACTTATGTTTTTCGTTACTCTTATGATGCCACAGATCCCCCTTTCAACAGGCTGAAGACGAATAAGATATTTTCAAAATTGTTGTCAGTTGCTGAAGTTGTAATTGAAGTTGCAGAGGCATGTATTCTTGGTTTCTTATTTTACTTTCAAAGATGGCGTGAACATGGTGCAATATTACTTTTTATCTGGAAAAAATGTCAGAAGGATGTTTCAAATTATGGTCAAAATTTCACTGGATCTTCTATTTTAGCCTCTTCAGATAGTGATGTCGTATGCTTTCTTGACGAGTTAATATCCAATATAGTCCTCGATTATAGTGGTTTTACTTGATTTAGTCCTAAGTGACTTTTTGTGCTCAATTTAGTCCTTGATTTTTATGATTTTACACAATTTAGTCTTTTGTTAAAAGTTTGGTTAGTTGGCCATTAAAAATAGGGTTTTAATGGTCAAACCATTATAGTTGAGGACCAAATAACTATAAGCTGAAGGCACAAGGGCATTCAACACCTAAAAGGACAATTATCTGTATAGATCTTCCAAATCCCCCAGTGATACCCCTACCTTGATACCTTCCCATATCTTTGAAGATAGTACCACAATTATGGACGTCTTTTTGTGCTCTTCAAATAATGCATATTCCGTCATGGCAATTAACAAAAGGAAAACTAAATCTCCGTAGGGAGATAAGCTGCATACAAAACCACATAAAAAGATTGATAACTCTGCATGGTTGGAGGAGCTGAGCAATAATTACCAAGACACTGAGAAGTGACCCCATCACTTCATCCCATCTTTTAGTGGGCAAATATTTATTTATGTAGGGTTAAAATTGATTTGGGGCTGAAGATATGCATTTCTAAGTGGAACTTAATAAGGGGAAGAAGAATGAATCATCCCAAATGAGATGAAGGATAATAAATTATTATTATGACCCTATTTCTAACAACCAACTAACAGGACTTTTAACAAAGGATTAAATTGTGTAAAACCATAAAAGTCAAAGATTAAATTGAGCACAAAAAGTCACTTAGGACTAAATTGTGTAAAAGAGAAAATTTCAATTTTGATCCACTGACTATTGGAGTTGTGTTAATTGCAACACTTGACTTTCAAAAATATTAATTTAGTACCTTGACTATGCAATTTCTATCAATTTTGGTCACGCCGGCCAAATTACCGGCAAATTATGACCGGAAAATATTAATAAGTAAAATAATGAGGTTATTTTAGTCATTTCAACTTTTTTCTAACCCTCATGTGAGTCCACCATGTTTTCCGGCGAATGCTTGTGTTTTCCTTCATTCCCTTTTTGGATAACAACCTGGATTTCAACTAATTAATATTAAGTTAAGATTACCTTAATTAGTACTTTAAACCCCCAAAGCTTAGCGAACTTGGAGGCTTCGACGAGGGAGTAGAAGGTGAGGGGCGATGCGCCGTCATCTGATACATAACAGGCTAGCTTGTTCGCCGGATACTCCATAGCCAACAAAGATAGCACCGTGTTGACTGTTATAATCCGCGGTTCCAGTTTCGGGTCGGCCGTCGTAACTAACATATTCACAACTGGAAACTCAGATGTCTCATCTCCCAGCCTTGAAAATGTTGGAACAATTTAATTACTTAGGTACTATACGCTCAAGAAAAAACAGAGAAATTAAATTTAATTTATAGCAGGCCGGAGATTGTATATATGCATCTTCCATACCATTGCAAGAGGCGTTCTGGGTATGTTTTGCGGCGAAAAATACAAGCATTCGCCGGAGGGTTAGAAAAAAGTAGTGAAATGACTAAAATATTCTCATTATTTTACTTATTAATATTTTCCGGTCATAATTCACCGGTAATTTGGCCGGCGTGATCAAAATTAATAGAAATTGCATAGTCAAGGTATTAAATTAATATTTTAAAAGGTCAAATGTTGCAATTAATATAACTATAATAGTCAGTGGATCAAAATTGAAATTTTCTCTTGTATAAAATTACTATAGTCGAGGACTATATTGAGTATTAACTCCTTTCTTAACGTTTGAATAAATCATTTTAACTACACAAAAATTTATAGAATGAGACATTTAATATTTGCTTACAAATATATAATCATTTTTTTAATAAAATTTTAGAAAAGTATTAAATTTTTGTTAAAAAGTATTTCACGTCTCACATAAGATAATTTGATACAAATCAAATTAGCTTAACTAATATTTTATATTTGCCAACTACCATGTAATGTGATGGCATCCCGGTTACCCATCCGAATGGATGATCATAGGTTTAAATCCCGGTAGTGGGAGCTTTGATACTTTCGGCCAAAAATGTTTGAGAAAGTATAAAACAGATACTACCTTGTAAAGAATTATGAGGATTTCAAAAACTAATATTTTATATTTGAGTATAAACTGGGGTAATTTCAGATTTTGAAAGGGGCAACAAGTCAAAATGGTTAGATTCATGAACATAGAAATTATTCATGATGAAACCGTATAATGGTACCAATTGGTATATTTTTTTTGAGTGGCATGGAAAACTTGCAACGGCTATCTGAGTCTGTGTCAATTGTTATGTTTATTGACACGCAATAATATATGTTTGTGTTTATAACTTGATGGAGGTAATAATTAGAGTTAATTCTACCGGAGGTTCCTTATCTTTGGTGAAAATTTTAAATTTAGTCCTAGACGGTAGTTTTTGTCATTTAACATCCCAGACTATTATTTTTTGGACACTTTTAGTCATTCTCATGACTTTTTTTTTTAATTTTTTTAATTTTTAGTAAGGGCATGCATTTTTGTTTCTTTATATTTTTATTTTGTTATTTTTTCGATTTCAACCGGTTTAATTCGTTTAAGACTTTACTAAAAATCGATTGAAAATTATGGTTATTAAAAATTAGAGGTCACCTAAAGTTCTAAATAACTATGACCACGGTTCGGTTCGAACCGAGCCGGAACTTATGGCCGGTTCCGATTCCTGAACCGTGAAATTTAAAAGAAAAAAAAGATTCAAATTTCATGCTTTAATTATTTCAAGGCTGTTGGCTTTGGCAGTTTGGCTTCATAAAAATAAAATGGCTGGTAGGCCACTAAGCCAGTGGACTATTGGCCACTTTGCCAGTTGGCCTGGCGCAAAAGCCAAGCTCCAGCCTCCATGGCCTTTGTGCCAGGCCTTGCAGGAGTGTAGCCGGCTATAAAACAAAACATACAATATTAAAAAAAAAAAAAAAAGAGGAAATCACGGTTGGAACCGGCAGTTCGAATCGGAACTGTCGGTTCGTCCATTTCTAAAATCAGAACTGGTGGTTCCGAACTGGAACCATGGTCATGGTTATATCTAAACCAAATAAACCTGTTGAAATCGTAAAAATAACAAAAGAAAAATATAAAAAAACACAAAAGTGCCCTTACTAAAAATAGGAAAAGTCATGAGAAGGACTAAAAGTGTTCGAAAAATAATAGTCAAGGATGTTGAATGGCAAAAACGATAGTCTGGGACTAAATTTGGAATTTCCACCAAAGACAATGGACCTATGGTGGAATTAACTCTTAAAAATAATTAATTATATCTCCAACATATTTTATTAAGGGTGTGCTTGGAAACATGAAAAATGATTTCTGGAAATCATTTTCCGGGTTTCTAGTGTTTGGTAAGTGATGAAAAATCAGAGTCAACTGAAAATAAGCTCTTGGTCATAGAAAAATGCACATCTTTTCTTGGAAAATGACTTCCCCCCTCCCCCCCACCCCCCTTTTTTTTGGGAAGGGGGGGGGGGGGGGGGTGGAAGTCATTTTCCTCACTGGTTTCCGCATCGGAAACTAGTGGTGGTTTTCGATGCGGAAACCAGAAAATTATGCTTTTAATTAGAGTTGGTTTATGCACTAAATTAATTAGAGTTGATATTACAATTGTTGATTTGAGAAGGTTGAATTTTGCTTTCGAAAATCCACTCATTAAAATGTTGAAGTATAGAATTCTGCTCATTTTATAAAAAATGAACCAAACATACAATGACAGTTTCTGTTATGCAGCTAAACACTATAAAAGAAAATATTTCAGGAACATAACTCATTTTCCAGAAGTTATTTTCCTACTTTCCAAATAGACCCTAAAATATCCCAGATTTAAAAATACAATACATATTGAGGAATTTGAAGTCTTGACCTTTTTTTTTTTTTAAAATAAAATCACTTCTATATGACCTTGTGGTTTAGTGGTATGAAGTGATTCCCTCAAATGGGAGGTCATGAGTTTGAGCCCCAGTGAGGGTGGTTTTGAGGCAAATTATTGTGTGGATCGTGGTCCACATAGAGTTATGTGAACCATGATCCAAAACAATGTCGTTGAATATTATGAGTAGGAATGATGAACATTATATGTTAGAATAATAAAACTTTTGGGGTGGTCCACATAGAGTTATGTGAACCATAATCCAAAACAATGTCGTTGACTATTATGAGTAGGAATGATGAACATTATATGTTAGAATAATAAAACTTTTGGGGTAATATAATGTACATTATGCTTTAGAGTAATGTACATTATGCTTTAGAGTAATGTACATTATGCTTTAGAGTAATGTACATTATGTTTTAGAGTAATGTACATTATGAGTTATAAAAATGTATATTGCGGCGGGTCGCATTACACAAAACGACGTCGTTTTTGGACTGTGATCCACACAATAACTATTGTGGTTTTGACTCTTTGTGCTTCAGTAGGTTGAGAAAGTAGCTATGAACAGATAGTACATTGTAACAAAGTCAATAGTACCCAAAAAAAAAAAATCACTTCCTACTAGTTTACCGTATAATCATCTTATAAATTTATTTGCAAACATTAACTAAAGAGAAAATAGAAATTGTGGAAAATTTAATTTGAATTTAAAATTTTCATATAAATAAGAATAAATTGATATGAAGAAATATTTTTAAAGTTTTTGTTGATAAAAACTTAATAATGAAGAATAGAATTTTAATATGTCAATTTATTCTTGTATGTAATTTTTTAAAACAATTAATAGTTTAAAGTTTTGTATTAAAAGAAAAGAAATTAACATTAGAAATAAAAAATAAATTGTTAATACACAATATTTTGAATAAGTTAAGTATTATGCACTTTAATACGAAATTTTACAATGAATTGTTTAAAAAATATATACTAGAATAAATTAAAATATAAAAAATTTACTCGTCATTATATTTTTTTATCAACATATATTTTAAAAAAATTTACATATTAGTCTATTTTGAATTTAA